GGGCGGCATTTCTTTGACTCCAGGGGCTCAAGCCATTCCGCCGACCCCCAGAAGATGCGGGGAGTCCACGGTTGCGGCGTCGTGGGCTTCTTGGGCATCACTTGGGAGCTCTTGGGGGCGTCCTGGGAGCTGCTGGGGGGCCTGGCGGAGCCCCTTGGAGGCCGTTTTGGAAGCGCTTCGGGGCCCGTTCTGGAGCCCTTTTTGGGCGGGCTGTTTGGTTTGCTTGCGCGCGTGTGCTGCTCGGCCGCTCCAGGCCTCGGGGGACCTCCCCGGGGGCCTCCGAGCGCCTCTGGAGGCCTGCGCCCTCCACGGGCCAGGACGCGGCGAATACTGCGAAGGCATTACGGCTGGCGCCGCCGATTTTTGAAGGACGCCGGCGACGACCACGACGACGACGACGACGACGACGACGACGACGACGACGACGACGACGACGACGACGACGACGACGACGACGACGACGACGACGACGACGACGACGACGACGAAGACGACGACGACGACGACGACGACGACCACGACCACGACGACGACGACGACGACGACGGCGACGACGACGACGACGACGCTGGATATTTGCTCACTGGCCAGGCAGCCGACGTTCCCGGGTCGCCCGCAGGGGCGCGCCGAGGATCTCGTGCTGCGCGGTCCTGGCAGCTGAGGGCAGCACCACCCACCGCCGCCCCCCGGCAGGGCCCGCACCCCCGACCCGGCGATCCGGAGGGTTTACAGTGCTGTTTTTAATACATGCTCCGCGTGCGGATCATGTATTAAGAATAGAGGGATGCAGTATTAACAACAACGATGAGTTTGTGCATGGGTTTATTAGTGGATTAATCATGTATTTAAAATCCTATATGTTTAAGATCCTATGTATTAAAAACTGCTCTGTAGTCTCTGGGTGGGGTTGCATGTTGGCCCCAATAGAGCTCCCACAAATTTCAGCTGCGCCAGAAGCCTCCCGCACCCGAGGGTGCCCGCACCCACTTGACAAGGGGTGCTGCACCCCCCGCGCCGTCCAGCCTGGCGGTGCCAGTCTGAGCCGACGCGCGGGGCGCCAGGGATGCAAGTACCCCCAGGAGCGGGAGGGTGGGGCGAAAGCGCGCGCGCCGTCCGCCACGGCGGGACGCAAGCGCACATGCCTGCGAGATGCAAGCACCAATGCCTGCACATCGCACGACCCCGAGGCGCGCCGCGAACCGCCCCGACGCGATCCCCGCGGCGCGCCTGCACGGGGCGTTCGACGCAAAGCGAGCAGAAGAGCAGACTAGCCACGCGCGTGACGACGCACCCCCCTCGCGCGCGGGCCCTTCGCGCGGGGCCGCGCGCCGCGAGGCACGTGCCGTCGCTCCCCCCCCCCCTCGCGCGCGCAGGCCCTTCGCGTGGGGCCGCGCGCCGCGAGGCACATGCTGACGCCCCCCCGCCTCGCGCGCGCGGGCCCTTCTCGTGGGGCCGCGCGCCGCGCGGCGCAGGAAAGCGGGAGGCGGCCCGCGCGCCCAGCTTGCCCGCCCGCGCGCGGGCCAGGCGCGGGCGCGAAATTTGTGCCCGCGCACAACGCAGCACAAGCGAGCGCGCGCGCTTTCGATGGCGTTGGGCGCCCACCACAAATTTCAGCTGCGCCAGAAGCCTCCCGCACCCGAGGGTGCCCGCACCCACTTGACAAGGGGTGCGGCACCCCCCGCGCCGTCCAGCCTGGCGGTGCCAGTCTGAGCCGACGCGCGGGGCGCCAGGGATGCAAGTACCCCCAGCCGATGCATGCTGGTGCACCGCGCAGCGGCGACGCGCGCGGCACGCGCACCCCTTGCGAAACGGGTGTTGCGTGCGGCGGCGCCGCGGTGTTGTGACACGCAGCGGCGGAGGCGTACGCGCGAGGGCGTCGCGCGACGCCTGGGTCGCCATTGCCTAGGCAAGTTCGTCCTCGGACTCAGCTAGATGCGCCTCGACCACGGCGCCGAGTTCGAGTTGCGTCAAAGCGAGGTGCGACAGGAGCGCGGGCGAGGACCATTCGCCCGCTTGAAGGATCTCGCGCAAGGTGCCTCCCCTCTGCTGGAGGTCCAGTGCGTGCCCGCGCCGCAGGTCGTGCGTGCGATAGCGCCGCGTCTTTGACGCCGAGCTGACCGAGGAGAAAGCGCAGCGTGCTCAGCGAGCTGGCCGCGCTAATGTCCGCGAACGGCCTGGTGCCCACGGGCAGGTCCGCGAACCATGCGCCGAGCGCGTGGACCGGGCACGTCTTGGTGCAGCGCGCGCACCAGCACGCTCGCCGCAGCACGGACCCGAATTGCTTGTTCTTGCGGCGCGCCAATTTGAGCTGCAGGAGGCCGTCGCACAGAATGAGGGAAACCCCTGCGCCCTGACGAAAGGCGACGCCGTCGAACGAAATGCCCAGGGCCTCCGAGGGAAGGCGCAAGAGAAACACGTACGTGACAAGAAAGAGCAGCGCGAAAACGGCGGACTCGTGCCGCTCTTTTGCCAAATTTAGCAGCGCGCAAACTGCGTCCTCCCTGATGAATAGGGGCGCCCTGGGCAGGAAAGCGCCGCGCTTGCGAATCGCGCATTTGGCGCGGCGAAGGGGCGTGTCACGAAAAACGTCTACAGGGAGATCGCAAACCTGACAAGCCAGCTTGACGTGAGAGACATAATTGGAAAAAGGTCTGGTCGGAGCGAAACAGCAGCGACCGCGCGAGCAACCCGTCGGCAGACGGCGGCAGCTCGCGCCCGTGCAGCGCAAGAGCCTCGCGCGCAAACGCGATCCATGCTGCCGCGCCGCTCTTGAAAGAGGCGATGGAGCGCGGGCGCGCGCCCAGGAGGGCCGCTGCGCGCGCCGAAGACAGCCACTCAGCGACGCTCACTGGGCCTTCCTCGCTGTCAAGCCGCCGGCGAAGATAACGGAGCTCCGCGCGCGGGCCCCCGCCGCGCTGTGGCGCGCGGCCCCCTGCGCCTCCGCAATCCTTGTCTCGAGGAGCGCGTCAACGGCAATGCCCCCGGCGGCCTGCGCCCGCGCCGGCACCGGCCTCTGGACTTGTGCTGCCTCCTGCGCGCGCACGCGGGCGCGATGCAGCAGGGGCGCGGCGCGAAGTGCGCGAACCTGAAGGCTTGACGCGAGTGCGATAGCTTCCCGAATGCAACGCTTTTGGCCGCCGTCGAGGTCCGCGCCCAGGAATGGGGAATCTTTGAATTTGGCCCCAGCGAGCGCGGACGGGCGCGACACGCTTTCGGCGGCGAGCGCCGCCGCGATCGCATCGAACCACGCCGCATCGTGCCTGCCTTGGCCCGCGGCTCTCTCCAGGAAGACACGCATGGAAGCGGCGTGCCCGGCCATTGCCGTTCCGACGGTCGGCGCGCGCCAAGCAACGCCTCTGCCGCCGAGCCCTGCTTGCCGAACGCACGTGGAGCGGCTGCGCTACGCGCGACCTTCGCGGACGCAACACGAAAACGAATAAGACAACTTTCATGCGCGCGCGCCGACGCAAGACGATTTGGCGCGCAAGCCGAACTGTCGGCCGACGGACGCTCACGCGCGGCGCAGCGACACCCGCGCGGCCGAAAGAGGTGCCCAGGCATCGGGCTTCCAGAATGCCTCGCTAAGACGCGGCAGCACGAAAGAAGCGCCGATCTCGCGAAGGAGCCAGTACTGCTCCCGCGAAAGCGCGCGCGCCGTCCGCCACGGCGGGGCGCGAGCGCACATGCCTGCGAGATGCAAGCACCAATGCCTGCGCATCGCACGACCCCGAGGCGCGCCGCGAACCGCCCCGACGCGATCCCCGCGGCGCGCCTGCACGGGGCGTTCGACGCAAAGCGAGCAGAAGAGCAGACTAGCCACGCGCGTGACGACGCACCCCCCTCGCGCGCGGGCCCTCCGCGCGGGGCCGCGCGCCGCGAGGCACGCGCCGTCGCCCCCCCCCCCCCTCGCGCGCGCAGGCCCTTCGCGTGGGGCCGCGCGCCGCGAGGCGCATGCTGGCGCCCCCCCGCCTCGCGCGCGCGGGCCCTTCTCGTGGGGCCGCGCGCCGCGCGGCGCAGGAAAGCGGGAGGCGGCCCGCGCGCCCAGCTTGCCCGCCCGCGCGCGGGCCAGGCGCGGGCGCGAAATTTGTGCCCGCGCACAACGCAGCACAAGCGAGCGCGCGCGCTTTCGATGGCGTTGGGCGCCCACCTAAAAGCCACCCTCACCCCCAGCCATGACCCCCCAGAGATGGCTACGGAGCCTTGGGTCGATTCCATTCAACGTGCTGAGAGGCGCGCAGAGCATCTCGTGCAACACCACGGGATCAACAGTTGGACGGCAGTCCACAGGAGGAAGTCGTGGCGCATGGCTACAAGGGTTTCCGACCACGAGCACGCGATGTGGATGTGGAGAACATTACATTGGCACCCAGGTGGAAAGCCACGATTGCGCGGGCACCGCCAGCCAGGCGGACAACGCAAACCTTGGGACAGCGACATCACCACGCACCTACAGCAGCACAACCCCGACCTGCACCCGACACGCACCAACCATCGCACAAGGCCAACCTAACGATTCCACTTGGGCTCAATCGACGTAGAGTACATCCAACAGGTCGTCATTGAGCACCAGAGCGCAAAAGACGACACGTGAAAGCAGTTTCGTTGGCTTCCGCATCCGCGTCCACCACGGGGACTTCACAACCAGGATTTCCTCTCCCTCCCCTTCCTTTTATTCTGAATTTCTGATTTGCGTTATGCTCGAGGTGGGCCTCGCTATACTTTCACTCGTGTGTGGCGTTGACGAGTGCGCGGTGCAGTATTTTTGCTTCGAGGTTATCTGGATTTCATCAAGGTCTTCGTGGTGCTCATGCTGGCCACGCCCGCTTAGGTTGCATCGTTGATGGCAGTCACGATGCATGCCTGAATCTTCCAAGAGGCCACGGTGCCCCCCACCTGGTTCCAACTCGGCCCGGACGGCTGTCCGCAAGAGTTGGTCGGTGGAAACGGGGGTCCGTCGGAGCGCCGCGTCGTGCAGGACCTTGCAGGGCCAGGGGTGCACTGACCCGGGCTTGGGTGCAGGATCCTGCAGTCAAGGGAGGAAAAAACACCCGGACGGGACAGTTGGTGCTTACGAAACAGCCTTGGGCGTTTACTAAGCAGCAGTGCCTTGTTCGATTCCTTCAGTGGGGGTGTTTAGTACACGGCTTCGCGTGTCGGGGTGGTTATTATGGGGGTGTTTTTTTTTTGATCTTGCAGGATCTTGCAGGGCCCGGCTGACCTGGGTCTGGGTTGACCCGGGTCAGCAGATCCCCGAGGTGGTTCGTTCGCCCGTTCATGGATCACGAGGTCGGATGGGGCGCCCTGGCTGTCCTCAGCAGACGGAGGTTCTCCTTTCCAGAGACCGCCGCGCCAGGGCGCGAAGAGGGACCCGCGTCTCGCGCGGCGCGGAGCGCGACGGTTGGCCTTTCGAAGCGCCCGCAAGTCTTGAAGGCTCCTGGAGGCCCCTAAAAGACCAGTGCACGATTTGGGTCGAAAGCGTGTATGTACAGTGCAGTCTTGCCAGCGAATGCAAAGCAAAGTTCTTCAACACATGCCATCGCTTAGCACAGCATGACATAGCAGAGAACCATCCTCAGGGTAGCATAGCGTAGCACGGCGTGCTATGGCATCGCGACGCATGGCCTAGCACAACATAGCATGACACTACCCACCATTGAATAGCAACATCATGGCGTTCATGACGTGGTATATGTGTATCATGACATGCTGCGGCATTGCCGCTCAAGGAACACAGAATTCGGAGTCTACGCTTCGCAAATCCCCACCACCACCTTCAGGAGTCCTGCCCATGAGAGCTGACGGGATATGGAGAGAAGAGACACATACAGTGAGACAGAGCGTGCAAGGAGAGGTGAGGACGGAGGGTGTTGAGCCATCTAGCAGGCTATCTTGAAGCATCTCTCGGAGACCTTCTTGGAGCTACGGGGCTGTATCGGGGGATATTGGGGTCCTCTTGGAGGTGTTTGGGTCCTGTCGGAGCTCTTTTGGGGCGGTCTGGGGCCCTCTTGGGGCTCTCTTGGGGCTCTCTTGGGGCCCTCTTGGGAGCTATCGATCAAAGGTAGGGGGGTCCTCGATTTGCCTCCCCCCTCAGGGGTCATCGAATTACCCTTTTGGGGCGCTCATGGGGCCCTCTTGGGGCGATCTTGGGCGCTCTGGGGCAGTCTTGGGGGCATCTTGGGCCCTTCTTGGAGCTCTCCTGGGCCATCTGAGGGCCATCCTGATGCTACAACAGCGCATCGGAAGAGAACAGGCGAGAAGGTAAGCAGCAGTGATTTTCCTCAGGTTGGTTTGAATGATTTTTGGCTTCTTGGTGAGGTCCTGAGGGGTCGCCAAAAACACCTGGAACCGTCTTGTGGCCCTCTTTGGGCCTCTTGGAGGCATGTGGTTAGCTACATTGAGCCTTGATGGGCTATCTTGAGCGATCTTGAAGACTATCTTAGCCTCTCTGAGGCCCTGTTGGAGCCATCTTGGGCGAACGAAGACCTTCTGACACCTCGCGGCCCCCCCTGTCCAGGTCCAGGGGCGGGGGCAGGGGAAGTGGTCAAGACATCCCTTAGATAGCAAATCGTCTAGCTCACTCCCACCCGTCCTCCTAACACGTAGGTGACCCGCGAGCCTGAGCATGTTGAGCGGTCGTCTTTGAATGGGCAGCTACTGGGAACCAAAACCGACCCCATGTGCGCGACGCTGGGGCGAGGTGCGCCACGCGTGCCAGGCGCGCCACGCGCGCCAGGCATCCCTGGGGCTCGAGCGTGCCAGGCACGCCTGGTGCGCCAGATGCGCCACGTGCTCCGCGTGCGCCTGGTGTGCCGCAGACTCTAGCCGCGCCAGGTACGCCACGTTCTGGGCACGTGCAGAGTGTGTCAGGTGCGCCTGCGCATTTGATAGCACACATCGGGAAACGTGTCGGCCCCCACCATCCTTGTCGAAAATCAATACCCATCATTGTGTCTGGTGGGCCTGTGCACAGCAGGCCATACGCCGCCACCACCGCCGTCCCTGTCAAAAACGCAGTGATCCGCGGGGGGCCGCGCACTATCTAGAGCCGCGAGGTGCATTTTGTATAGTTTTGTGTTAGTGTTGGTAGCCCTGCGCAGAGCAGGCAATATACTGACACCCCCGCCGTCCCTGTCAAAGACAATACAAAGTGCTGGCGGGCCTCACGAGGAGCATGGTTCAAGATTTTGCCCCAAAGTGTCTTTCTATGTTTCTTACAGAGATGGTGGGGGGGGGGGCGCATCGGGTTAACCGCGCATGCTCCAAATGTGGAGGCAGAGTGCTTTCTGCATTGTTTATTTGACAGAGATGGTGGGGGGGTGGGAGCACGGTTCCTGGTTGGCCGCCGGTCGTCTGGGCGAGGGGATCTATATTGATAGGGAGCAGTTACAAACCCTTCCCATAAGGGGAAGAAGGGGTTGTGGAAGAGGAAGTACAGACATCGTTATACCACCTGTCGCCCAGAGTGCTGGTGGGATTAGGTACATACGTCGACATCACAGCATGGTCATGTGGCATTGCAGTACTACGTATTGCATGGCAGTGCAGACCACTGACGATCATAGCAGTACCGTATCATGTCCTATCTAAACCTGGTTTTGCATGATGTAGCAGCACGTGGCATATCATTGGCAATTCACAGCATACCATGCCACATCTTTCATTCAACGACAGCCTTGGGAAGCCATATCATGTCATACGCATTGCATATCGTAACATTGACCCGACACGACATCATGTAGCTAGCACAACAGAACATGCTATCTCGAAGCTGGCATGGCGCAGCATAGTTTTTTACACAATTTGCGCGCGGAGCTGGTGCCAATGTTACGAGGAGCCACATCGCCTACAGCTGACGGAGAGTTCCGACCGTCAGACGAGTAACCACCATCTCGGCAAGCCTACGCTGGCAAAAGCACGACGTCGGAGGTTGAGGCCTCCAGAGGTTCGGTGAGGCCCCTGGAGGTCTCCAGAGGCCCCGGAAAGACCGAACACGCCTGCAAACCTGACGCTCGGTTCTTCGAGAGGGGCGAAAGAGGGGGTGGGGGGGGGGTGGAAGGGAGGCATTTAAGCTGTGCGTAGCCCGCCTAGCTTCTAGCAGAAGAGGTTCGCTCTCGCCCCGCTGACCAAAAAGTGTGCGGAAGGGAGGCTGGGGGGGCTCGAGTCCGAGCCTCGATCCCGAGGCGCTGGTACGAGCACGTCGACTCCTTCACGCCGATGCAGCGGGCGGCGTGGCCGGCCGCCTGAGAGGCTGCTGGGCAGGGGCCTGCCCGGGCAGGGCGCGTGCCCCCGGGCGCCGGCCAGGAGGCCTCCCGCGCCGGCCTCGCCGCTCCAGCCGGTGGCGCGCAGAGGTCGACTAGACGTGAGAGTGACCTTTCGCCGGAGTGACCTTTGGTGCGGGCACGGATGGGTACCCAGATGGGTGAAGACGAAGCAGCAGCAGCTGCTTGCGCACCCAGGCTTGGTCCCCCCGCGGCCCCCCAAAAGTCGCGCACCAAAGGTCACTCTTACCCAGGGTCACTCCTGCGTATAGCCAAAGAGGGGTGGTGACCCGGGGCAGCGATAGGGGGGGATGGGCATAGGGGGGGATGCGTCGACCCCCAATCGCAAGCAGTGGCGAAGCGTCCCGGCTCGCCTGTGGCCCTACCAAGCAATGTTCTAGGAACCTTTTTTGTGGTTTCCACGACATGTTTTTGGAACATTTCTGCCTGGGACTGTCTTGTTTTATCACATCGAATTTATGTTCTAAGAACGTTGTTTTTGTTCTTTGAACTTTTTTGGGTTCTAAGAACATTTCGTGGTCTGACTATAGGAATGCGTCGACCCCCAATCGCCCCTTGATCGCCGATCTGGGGCCCGACAGCCTCAGCCTACACGGGAAGGTGCGGAGTCATTGTCGGGGGCCCATCGCCGATCTATCGGCGACGTACCGCCGAGTCCAGGTCGCTGCAGCCCCCCCACTAGGCCAGTCCCCCCCCCCTATCGTTGCCCCTCTTGTGAGGAGGCCCCTTCGGTGAGGAAGGTCTCGGGGGCCTCTCGCGGCGCGCAGCAGCAGTACCACCTGGGCCGCTGGGCCACTCGTCCGCGCCCTCAGCTCTGGGTCGACGTCCGCTCGGCGACCCTCCGGCGTGAATCCGCGACGTAGATTTAAGTCGGGCGTGTCCCTCTACAGGAGGAATATTGAAGAATAGTTTAAAATAGTCTGGGGATCATTGCTTGAGAATTTTTGAATATTACAATTCTTATTATTCTGAGTATCACTCTTCTCATTCTTCTTAGTATTATGATTATTGTTGTTATTATTGTTATTGTTATTGTTATTGTTATTGTTCTTGTTATTGTTTTTGTTATTGTTCTTATTTCTACTATCATTACGATTATTATTATCATCATTATTATGATTGTTAGTGTTGCTTCTCTTTATTTTGTAGTCCCAAATCCCCCTGTACGAGGCAGGCCCGACTTAAACGTAGATCCGGCGCGAGTCCGAGTCAGATCCGGCGCCGTCCGACAGGAACCCGACGCGAATCCGACGAGGATCCGAGGTGATCCCACGTTGCCGCGCGAGGCCTCCAGGATCTTCCTCGCAACCTCGGAAGGAATCAGGGGCATCAGAAGGATGAAGAGGAGGAGGAGGAGGAGGAAGAGGAGGAGGCGGAGGAGGAGGAGGAGGAGGAGGAGGAGGAGGAAAAGGAGGAGGAAGAGGAGGAGAAGGAGGAGGAAGGGGAGGAGGAGGAGGAGGAGGAGGAGGAGGAGGAGGAGGAGGAGGAGGAGGAGGAGGAGGAGGAGGAGGAGGACGTCGAGGCTAGGACCACTTCGGGCTCGGGGGGCGGCCTTGGTTTCGGGCCGCTCCCCGGATCTGGGCGGGCGACCCTCCTCCGGACCGAGGGGCGCCGTGGCCAGAGAGGGGCCCTGTCGCTCCCGACGGAGCGTTTGTCCGTGGGAGCAGCGACGGCTGCAGGCGGCTCTCAGATGGGGGTCCGAGGCTTCTTGGCAGAACGGGGGGAATTCGTGTTTGGTATGCAGCGCGCCTTCTCGGCATGCCCACGCCCTCGCCCCAGCCCCCCTCTGGCGTGCCGCCGCTGCGCTCCTCCGCAGGCGCGCTTCCGGCCGTGTCCTGTGAGACCCCCCCTGAAGGCCCGTTTTTCCCCACGGTCGATGGCCGCGCATCCCGCACCCGCTGGGGCCGCGATCAGTGTACAGCGGTGTGGACCGACTATCACGCGGTCCCGTGCAGTAAGAGCGCTGGAGGAGGGAAGCGGTGTTCGGGGTTTTGGTCGGAGGGCTTCCAGAGCTTTCCAGGAAGGGGGGGGCAGGGCGTTTTCGAATGTTTGTGGGCGATGGAGGAGGATCAGGGACAACGTTAGGGAAGATAGGCGCAGGGGGAGATGCAGCGACCCCAAATCGCCCACTCATCGTCGACACGGGCCCAACACCTCACCCCGCTCATGACGAACGTCGCTGATCGAACGGCTATGTGTCGCCGACTTCCTGGCCGACGCGAGCGCGCTTTGAGCGCGGTGCCGATGGCAGATTACCCTCTGAACGGCAATGGCAAGAAACAGCTTTGCAAGAATGCGCGAATTGCGCAGATAATGCCGGTAATATTGCCCCAGTTGCACCCATCGCTTTGCGATTGGCGCCTGGCCCGTGAAAGTTTTGATCGAGGTACATTTGTTTCTTTGCCGCGGTCTGCTGCCTGTCATCATTTGTTAGAGCTCTGATGTTACCTGCGCTATGGCCCGTTGCTCATCGGGATTGGGAGTCAACAGACGCTGCAGGGGCTGAAGCCGCGGGGGGCCCTTCCGCGCGGAGTTTTTTTTGTAAGGCCGCAGGGCTCGAAGAATATTCGTTCTCGCAAACAGCGCGAGCATGAAGCGTGTCGCAGCTAAGCGCGTGATCCCCCAATTCCAATCAATCGTAACGTTTGTCTGTAAAATTGCCACATCGACCGGTCGCCGCGCAGTGGTTTTTCTTCGCCTTACGCTTGGTCGCCTTAATGGTGCTGTAACAGAAGCATGATCTCCCCGCGTTGCGCACGATTTTTGTCACGGACCCACGCTTAGCAATGGTGCGGTTTAATATTATTTTCCGGGGGATAATGAAGTTCGGGGTCTGGGGAAGATGATAGACGTTGTTCCCAGCGGAAGATGATGGTGATGAAGATGGTGATGATGGTGATGATGTTGTTGTTGATGGTGATGATCATGGATGATGATGATGATGATGATGATGATGATGATGATGATGATGATGATGATGATGATGATGATGATGATGATGATGATGATGATGAGAACCCCATAGCCCTGCCACACGCTCGTGACTAGCGAAAGCTGAATTGGTGAGACCTCCATTGCCATTCTCATCGTGTTTGATGATGTTGCGATAGCAATTTCGATTCGCAATTTCCCCTCCACGATAATCAAATTTGGCATCGCCTCCCCTGTCTACAATCAAAGTTGTCTGTCCCAGGGGTAACCATTTAGGGGTTAAGGGGGGGTACTCTTCATTATCCGGGGAACGGGGTTACTTCTCGGGCGACAAAACACATGCAACAATTTCTTTAACATCGCCGCCACTACGTCACTATATTCGACGGCGGCTTTTGCAGAAATGAAGGCCTGGAAACGATAGGCCCCGCCGCCGTAGCCCGCTGGTCTTCCACGAAGTCGTTGGCGCGCCCGTCTTCAGAACAAATATTTACACACAGCTTCCCGCATTGAAATTCAAGATGGAAACCGGTGCAAGATACGACATGGTGCTCCTGGTGGTAAACGTCTCTAGCGCATGTGCCTGTATCCACCTCGGGCCACGAGAAACAAGGAAAACACATGGCTTCCCGCAACGAAAAATTAAGATGGAAGCACGTGCAAGATATGCCGGAGTGTTCCTTATCTCTGGCGCAATTGAGTGTGTCTATCATTCGTTGTCCTTGTTGCACAGTTGACATTCGCATCCCTGTTTGCATCCTTGATCTCGTGCGGGTGCTGGTGCTGGTGATGGTGTAGTAGTGGTGGTGGCGGTGGTAGTGATGCTGCTGGTGTTGCTGCTTGTGGTGCTCTTTTGCTCTCTTAAAGCCATTTTGGAGCAAGTGGTGCTGATGATGCTGGTGATGTGGGGTCATTTGTGGCGTAAGAGGAAGACGAGTAAATAGTAGGAGGAGGAAGAGGAGAAACAACAAAAAATGAGGAAAGGATGGAGAAGGGGCAAGAAGAACGTCGTGCGAGGAAGATAAATAGGAGTAAGGAGGTGGCAAGAAAAAAACAAAATAAGGAACGGACGATGACAAAGAGGACGAGAAGTCGGGCTTCGGGCATCTGTCGTGGTGGGGGTAATGCCATTTGGGTGCCATTTTGGGGTCATCGGGGGGCCCTCTGGGGGCCTTCATGATGGTTTTTTGAAAGGTTTTGGAACCCTCCTGGGCTCTTTGGGGGGTTTGGGGAGGCCTCTTTGAGCTGTCTTGGACCCCTTTGCTCAGAATAAGGGGGGTCTTAAGATTATGTCTTCCCCATCGGAGGCCAAAAGGGAATGTCATGGGACCCTGTTGGACCGCTCTCGGGCGCCTTTGGGGCCGTCTTGGGGTCCTCTTGGGCCTCTCGGGCGAAAAAACGACAAGGCAAGTAACATTGAGTTTCCTTAGGTTTTGAATGCATTTTGTCCTCTAGGATGGTCCATGGAAGGCTTGGAAGGTACTTGAAATCGTCTCGGGACCGTCTTGGGGCTTTTTGGATGCGTGTCTGAGGCTATCTTGAGCCGTCTTGAGGTATCGTGGGCGATCATATCTTGGGCTATCTACAACCTTTTTGAACTTATCTCGGGCCATCTTGGACGTTCAACCCCTCGCGGGGGAGCCCGTCCAAACCCAGGAGGGGGGGTAAACCTCATGAGCATTGAACAGGAGTCTGGAAAAGGAATTGCTCTGGACCACTTGCGCCCAGAAGGCTGGTGGGATTATACAACGAAGGGGACGAACCTGTCTCAATTCTTGTCGCCACGACAGTTGTTAGAAATTCTATGCGGTTGCATGTGCTACGTCGAAGCTGTCGAACGTGAAGATGTGAAATGCCCGGATTAAAAAGAAATGTCTTCACCACTGCAATTGCGGCCCACGAGAATGCGGTGCGCATCGCGGAGATGCTTGACTACGAGCATAGACGCAAAGTAGGCTCATCGAAGAAATTTCCGCTGAGTTTGGACCCTCCCGAAACTGTTGATTACGAGCAAGAAGGCCACGACATTGCCGTTCACCAGCGTGATGAATCTTCCAAACCTGAATTTGTTCCGAAATTCCAAATTTGCCCTACCCGCTTTCCACAGGTAACCACGACTTAAGACCCCTGCCGCCGCGGATTTTCGTCCCCAAGAGAATTACCAGCTTGAGGGACACGGGACACGTGCATAGTGGATCATTTGTTTCTATGAAATTCGTGATGCGGATTCTCTCACCCAGTCAAGTCAACGCTCAGAGCAAGTTAAAAGCAGAATGCATAGGTAATGAAACGATGCAAATCAGTGCGAAGGATGCTGAACACATGCTCGTGCGAAGGAGCGCAGACCGAAGGGGGAAGGACGGGAGAGGAAAAGGAAAGAGGGAGCCCAGACAATAACAGAGAATTGCCCGCGAGAAGGTGAGAAGCCGGCGGAAGGCGCGGCGAAGACATTCCTGGCCGGTCTTCAACTTGATGTGCACGGGAACGCACAAGGGCCTGCAGACGGGTCTGCAACTCGGAGACGCTGCGCGCCGCCACGACGAAGTCCGGCAGCAGGTCATGGATGCGCACGGCGCCCGTAGCCGAGTGCGGCAGGAAGCCCGGAGCGCAGCGCGGGGGCTCGGCAAGGCGGTGCCCGTGGCGCCTCGGAGCTCTCCTTAGCTGGCACAGGACGTGTGTCCATCACGAAAAAGAGTTAGGAAAGCGGCTGGGGCCAACACCCAGAGCTGTTCGACGAATTACCCCAGGAATGCTAAAATATCCCGACGTGTCGACAGAGGGGCAAGGTTCAAGCGGAAGAGGGACGGTTGGCCGCTGTGATCACCAGAGGCCCCCAAAAGCATATCATGCGTTTCATTGCAGGGGAAAAGTGACGAAAGTAACGAACGAAGAATTGAACTGTGCCGAAGTTGCCAGGATTGGATTTTGAGTCGCCGTCGCTCAGCGCTCCCAAGAGCAATCGCCGACAAAAATTGGAGAAAACAAAATTCCGCTTAATTCTCCTGGGACGCCATCGCTTTTCATGCGTTACAAGCTGCTACGACGGGCCTTGACGGGGAGCCGACGACGCTGGCATGCAACGCCAATTTAGGCTTCCCAACGTATTGCGGCAAGTAGTGCTGCTCCCAATCGCGTGTTGCAGCACTTGCAAGTACAACAAAAGCAATTTGTCGCGGGACAGGCTGGATAAAGGATGAAATCAATTTCTAACCGATTTCGGCTAGGAAGTCCGCAAGCTTAGACCACCCCTCTTTCCACCATGTGTGTGTGTGTGTGTGTGTGTGTGTGTGCGTGTGCGTGTGTGTGTGCGCGAGTGTGTGTGTGTGTGTGCGTGTGTGAGTTTGTGTGCGCATGTGTGTGAGTGTGTGTGTGTCTTTTTGTGCATGCGTGTATGTTTGTTTATTTGTGTGTAAATGCATGCATGTAAATGTGTATGTGTGTATGTATGTGCGCATGTACGTGTGCGTGGTGCGTGTCCGCATGCGTGAGTGTGTGTATAAAAATGTGTGTACATATATATATATATATATATGTGTGCGTGTGTGTGCGTGCAGGTATATGTGTGTATGTGTGTATGTGTGGGTGGGTGTATATGTGCGTTGCGTGTGCGTGCGTGCGTGCGTGTGTGTGTGTGGATGTGTGTGTGTGTGCGTGCGTGTGAGTATGTATTTAAGTACTATACGACCACCCTTCGGGTGATAAGGAGGTTGTGGAGGGGAAGGGACGAAAGGGGGGAACCAACATCTGACTCAATCGATCTCACTATCGATCTCACTCAACGGGACATCACGGAACACCACGGGACACTTGTCGATCTCATTATCGATCTCATTATCGATCTCATTCAATGTGACACCACGGGGCACCACGGGCCACCACGGGACACCACGGGACAACGCGGGACATCTCTCGATTTCACTAGCGGTCTCACTATCGATCTCATTATCGATCTCACTCAACAGGAGACCATAGAACACCACGGGACACCTCGGGACACCACATCGATCTCAATATCGATCACTATCGATCTTACTCAACGGG